TTGCATCCCACTTCAACTACCTCCCCATTTCTAGGACGTATTTGCTCATTACCTTCACTTCTTCGCCTCTCATTCTCTCTACAACTTATCACAATTGTTGCAGAATCCAGTTTTGTGTGCCAGACACTTCAAAAGGCCAAAACTCACAACAAGTTTGGGAGTAAGGAAAGGTTTATTGATCAAGAAATTACCAACAGAGAAGATGGGAGGACTAACAGTGCCTCAAATCCATCTTACCTGCTGGACTAGGTTAAAGATTTTTAAGTTGGAGAAAAGGAATGGGAAGGGGAATTAGGGTAAATTTCTGTGGTGTTGGATCTCTTGATAAAGTTTCCATGAGTAGATTGTAAGACGTTATCAGAGGGTCACACATATCAGGGGCGGTTTTGAGTTTTCATTGTTTCCTGCAAAGTAAGCTTGTATATTACTGTCCTGTGACCATTCCTTTCTATAAAGAAGCAGAAACATTGAATTGAGATGTTATCTATAGTTTTCCCAAAACTGTTCTTGACCAGAGGTCATGAGTCATTCAACCAGGAACAGGGCACAGTCTTGCTGAGTTCTACAGTTTAAACATTAAGCAACCCATGACTACAAGGGAATGAGTCAGTTAACATATCTTCGTTAGGCAAAAAGCAGAGGCTCTAACTTGTGGATGTGAGCAGAGGGCCTTGCTTGTGGGTTATGATTACACGACCCTCCTTCAGCACATATGATTCCACTGATACTGCTCTTGTCAAAGTCATCAATTACTGCTGAGTTGCAAATCCAATTGGCAGTTTTCTATATTTTTGGCAGCATCGATATAACTGACACTTCTTCCCCTTGGAAATATCTCTTTCTTGATCTGTGCAATCTGAGCTCTCTCTCCCCTTATTTATTGGCTATTCCTTGACACTCTTCTTTGCCAGCTCTTCACTTATAAATAAAGTAGTGCCACAGGGCTCAGTCCTAGATGATCTTTCCTTTCCTTCTTTTAAAAAAAACATTTTTAGTGAACTTCAAGTACAGAGGGTTGACTTTATGACACATTATAGAGTATAAAGTCCATTCTTATTTCATTTAAATATTTTCTCTTCATCCCCTACACTTTTTCTCCTTTCAGACCCCTAGGAAACTGCTATAATGTATTTATTTATATCATTTTATTCATGCGTAGTCTTATCAAATATATACGGTTGTCTTGTACATTTTTAAAATTTCATGTAAATGGAACATATGCTGTTCTCTTTCTCAGCTATCTTCTCAATCAATTCTACCTCATTAGATGAGTTACCCATTCACATTATTTTAATACCATTTTTATGCCAATGGTTCCAAATTTATTTTTCCAGCCTTGACTTCTCTGTGTTCCAGATTCATGTATCCAACTGTACACTTAATAACTCTATTTAATTAACTAACTCAATACCCACATCTCAAACTTAGTACTATACCCCAAAGGATATCTTACTTACCACCCCCACCCCATTATTTTATATTCAGTAACTTGTACTGCCAGTTGTTCAAGCTGAAACCTTAAAGTTTTCTTTGATTCCTGAACTCTGCCCCTGTTCCCCAACACATGCATACACTGTGCCAAATTTCCCAACAAATTCTGCCCATTCTACCTCAAAATTATATCTCGAGTCTATATACTTTTCTCTCTCTTCACTTCCATTACTATTTGTTCATCAAATAAGCAAGTAAATAAACCAGGTTTCATAGAATAGTTAATTTCATATAATAGAAAATGCAATAAAAAATAAACAGGGACATATTTAGAAAATGATGGAATATGTACATCTTTTAGATACAGTGATCAAACTAAGGATATTGTATATGAACTGACACCTAAACACTGAAATCAGACTTGCAGAGAGAGGAAAAGAGCGTCCAGGCAGAGCTGCAAATGCAAAAGTCTTGGTGAAATGAATAAACATTCATTGAGCAAGCTGAGTTCATCAAACAAAGTGAGAATGATGAAAACAACAGAGCAAATGTCGTATTCAATCATCTCTGCTAATAATGCTGATTTGTTAAATTTATAAATGCATGTAGAGAGAAGTGGAAATATTCAGATTCCCCTGGAAAGCAAAGCACACTGTAAAGTATGCTTCTCTTGGATCTTTAAAATATGAAACTGTTGTTTTAAAAAGCCATGTTAAAACATCAGGATATAAAATAGTTGAAACCAAAAGGTAGAAAAAGATGTGATATGTAAATGTAACCAAATATAGAAGGGTAATATTGATGTCAGATAATTAAACTTTAAGGCAAAATCATTCCTTGAGATACAGTGGTTGCTTTATAATGATAACATCTTTATCTTGCCAGTAACATATAGCAATTTTAAATGTGAATTGTTCCATGTAGAGAGAAACTGTGAGAAAATAAAAACCAATCACAGTGTGAGATTTTTTAACACATCTCTTTCAGTAATTGACAAAAGAACCATACCAAAAGTCAATCACAATACAAAAATTTTGAACACTTGATTAATAGATTTGACCTAATGGATATGTATAGAAAAATGCGCACAATAACTGCAGAATACACATTTTCTCAGACACATGCAAAGCATTTACACCAATTTAGCTCTTGGTGGTCATAAAGCAAGTCTCAATAAATTTCAAATGTTTAAAGAAATACGGAGCATATTCCCTGACCACAATGAAATTTTGCTAGAAATCATATGGGACTAGGAAATCCCATCTACTTGAAACTTAAGAAATATATTTCTATTCCACACCATACTAGCCAGCACAGTAAGGCAACCATTCAATCAATAGGAAAGAAAGAAAAAAAAAAAAACAAACCGATATTATTATGGTGAAAAAGCAAAAGAAGTCTACAGATTATTAGAATTAAGAGAGTTTTGCAATGTTGTTGTATATAAACTCAACAAAATTTAATTGTATTTCTGCATACCATCAACAGCTGAAAGTAAAATTAAAGATATCATTTACAATAAAGTAAAAAATATTAATTACTTAGAAATAAATCTAACAAAAGAGGGGCAAAACTTCGACATGGGAAAGTATAAAGCTTTGTGAGACGTTGGGGGAAGACCTAAAGAGATATAGATAAACCATGTTTATGGATGAAAAACTCAATATTCTAAATACGTTTTTCTTTGCATAAATATTTAAGGTTAAAAATGTGCTTAGCCAGCATATAAATTATAAAGATGCTCATACATATTTATATGTTATAAAAATGCTACATTGTATGTACAAGATTGATCATAATGGCAGCATTATTCATAATATTAAAAAATTAGAAACACCCAAATGTCCATCAACAGTAGAATGGATACATAATATACAACAATGAAAATAAATGGACTAGCTACATGTAACAACATGGATGGATCTTAAGAAGCATAATATTGTGAAAATAAAGTTGCCAAAAAAAAAAGAAAAAGTATAAATTCATTTATAGTAAAGTTCAAAAAGAGGCAAAACTAAAATATTTTATAGATAGTTTTGCCCCTTTTTGAACTTTACTGTATGGCAGTAAAATTATAAATAAAAGCAGAGAAATGTAATATCAGCACGGCAGTTACCTCTAAAAACGAGGGCGATAGGCAAGGACACATGTAGACTTCTGGGGTTCTGGCATGTTCTTTCTCTGGGCCCCAGTGGTGGTTAGGTGAGTGGTTGCTTTACAATAAGTTATGGTACTCTACACTTGTGTTTTATGCACTTAATTTTGTGTCATGGAGCGTCATTTTAAAAAATAAATCCATATATTGATACTGAAGAATTCACAAGCTATGTGTTGTAAAATAGAAAAAAAAAGTGTAGAAATGTGTCAAATTTGCTACTATTTATGGAGAGGAAGGTGGGGAGGGAGCAGGGGAGACACAGACAGACGGCTTGTGGAAGGAGGTAACCCAAGACTGAAATAGTGATTGTCTCCAGGCAGGAAAAACAGGCGGCCAAGGGGCAGGGTTAGAAGAATGGCTATTCACTGTATACCCTTTTGTGTCTTTCGAATTTCATACCGTGTGAATGTATTACCTATTCAAAATAAACAAAAATATCTTAAAAAGTTTCTAGTAACTCTATACTTATCCACAAGGGGTCACTATTGAGTGATGTTTAACTCTAGTTCCTAACCAGGGAAAAACCGTTCGGAATTCTCCCTGCTCTCACTAGGAAGTGAAGAAGCGTCATTATTTACATCCTCATTTTATTTCACGCCACATGGTGTTCTAGGAAAAAAAATTCCATTCACAAATAGGAGCGAAAAGTAAATAATGTATATGTAAAATAAGATGAAGGAAGACAAAGAAATGGAGAGATAATATGAAGCCATGCGAAATAGGTTTACAGGTTTACAGGTTTACAGGAAGCATAGTATTAACCATCTCCCCTGGTGATAATGTGCAGATTAGTTTCTAAGGTTAATAGCGTCCGATGCAAAAAAAAAAAAAAGGAAGTATGGTCAGTTACACAATTCAAACTCTTGCTCGAAAGAATAATACAACTAGGCAAAACATTTTTCCTCACAGAGTCTGTTAAAGACAATCCGTGAGGCCTTCGGGAGAAATTCCTGTCGTAATAACAAGCCTAATTCACTAATCAGTTGTGAAATCATGGCGTCTTACTCTTCAAGAGAAGTAGAAGATGCTTTGGTTCTTCAGATGAGGAACATTTCATTCATGGTTAATCATGAGTGAAAAAGAAAGAATACATGCGGTAGAAAAAGAAGAAAAGCTCAAAGACTGTACTTCAAAAAATTCTGTGGCTGCACATGAGATAGAGGGTGCCTTCGCTTATCTAGATTTTTTTAAATATGGTTAATATGTTTTCTCTCTCTCTCTCTCTCTCTCTCAAAGCTGAGCTGATTGTACTTTAGCCTACTAACAGGTTTAACATTACCGCGAAGTGCAAAGGGAATTAACCCTGCTCAAACACAGCTGCTGGCTCACAGATGCAGGGCTTGGGCCAGTGTAAAGACTGGGAGGTGAACCCATGTGGAGTCACAGTGTTTGTTCTCTGTGATAGGAGCTACAAGGATTGTGCCAAACCCTTCGGCAGTGATGGATTCCTCTGATATTCCAAGGAAAAAAATAGCTGTCATTGGTGGTGGCTTGGTAAGCACCTATTTGTATATTATTCCTGTTAGTGGGATTATATTAATTATCATTACCCTTGATGATTATTATTAATCATTTGTACAAATGGTTCGTTTTCTTGTGAAAACTTTTCTGATTTTAAATACACCTTTTTAAAATATGATATTAGTTTTAATTTATTCTTTTCTAGGAAAGGTATTTTATTTAAACATAAAGGTGTCTAGTTTCCCTTGTCAGTTGATTTAGCATTTCTTAAAAACAGAAAATAAAGAAAATTGAATTTACTTATCCTTATATTGGCTGTTTTTAAAAACAAATATTAGTGTAAATAATCATTTAAATCAGAACGTTTGCCTCACTTTGGTTAATAACTCAGTTTATACTGTCTAATAAAAATAAAAGAATCAAGAAACATGAAGCTAGTGCAAAATTATTATGCTGGGTGTTTGCTAGTTATTTGAATAGTTAGGAATGATACCTATTGGGTAGCCTGACTTATCTGGCTGGTCCAGTGGGCACCTCAGGCCCCGGAGTGAGGCTCCCCCTCCTCACTGAGCAAGTAAGATGACTGCTAGGGAACAGGACTCACAGGTAGCGAGATGTAGGAGGGAGTCTCTCTACTTCACTGTTATCATACCAAGCCAGTTCTGTTTAAATGGGGCTGCCTCAGGTAAACTGTATTTTTTCCCACTCAACAACATCTCTCCAGTACTTAAGGGTTAATCATGTCGTTTTCACCTCTGGTCTAACCATCTGCAGGCTGCTAGCTCACAGGTGGTCATTCACTTAACAAAATTTATTGGCGGGGAGACCAAGCCCTGAACCAAGAGAAGAAGAGAAAGAATTCAAGACACGCCAAAGTTAGCGTCAAAAGGAAAGTTTATTAGAAAAGGGATGACACTCCACAGACAGAGTGTGATTTCCTCTCAGGGACAGAGAGTGAGAGGGACCCTGAGTGTTTGGAGAATTCACTTTATATGTCATTCTTTAGTTCCTGTGAGTTCTAGTTTAAAAGACTTTGTTAACGATTTCCTTTGATATGGACATACAGTGAGGAGGGGGAAGAGTGGTAGGCCTGCTGGTGGTTCCCAGACTTTAATCCATAGGTTCCACAGGGTTTTGGCCATAGGGAATGACTTTATTGGTGGTACCTGTTTCCCCTGCACAGGTGTGGGGGATGGGCCGTCAGCAATCCCAGCAGAAATCTTCCTTTGTTCTGCAGGTGTCCTCCTGGCCTGGCTGCAGGGCTGATCAGCATATTGCAGTCTCTGCAGGTAGCTTGATTAACATTTTGATTCTCTTGCCTCCTCCCTACTTTAAAGGACATTTCATAACAGATGAAAGGTTGAATGTTAAGGATATTAATAGAAAATATTGATTCAATAGAGCAATTCAAGAAGGTTAAGTTCAATACATAGAGGACAAAATTATTTTCTTGCCCATCTTCTTCCTTGTGCATTTTTTTCACCCCTCCCATTCCCTTCCTCCCCACAGGCCATATCCTAGGACCTTACACGCTCTAACGACATGTTAAAGGCTTGCCCCAGCTTCTAGGGAAAAATTGCAACAGAGTTGAAAACCTTTACTTCACAGTCCAAAGAATACAGTGAACTGTCCTCATTTTTTTTCAGTGGTAGCCTTGCCTAGTGAAAAGTTACCCTAAGAATGTATTGATCATCTGATCCTGTGATAAAGAGATTGATTTCTGTTCCTCGGAAACATGTCAAGTCAAAGAGGGCGGAAGAAAGCAACAGATCAATGAAGAAAGTTTTACTGAAAAACTAAGAGTGAAAGAAACTGTAAACCATGATCATCAACTGGTGCAAGTTTAACTACTGAAAGAAAAGATGTTAAAACAATATTTTAAGAACATTAATCCGAATATTTAGAAAAGTCACTGTATTGATTTTTCCTTCTCACGTGAAACACGGCTCCTTATCCCTGTCCCCTACCAATGGTAGTGATGCAGGACAAGGCCAATTCCTCCGGGTGGGGGGTGACCAAGCCCCATACAGAGAGAGAAGAGGGTTCTCGGCAGAGAGTGTAGAAAGAATTCAAACGCACGCCAAAGTTAGAGTCAAAAGGAAAATTTATTAGAAAAGGTGTTAACACTCCACAGACAGAGCATGGTCTCCTCTCAGAGGCGGACAGTGAGAGAGCCTGAGGCTCCGAGGGACAGAGACATTAGAGGCAGGACAGTGAGACGGACGCTGAGCGTTCAGGGCATTCAGTTCATATGTCATTCTTTAGTTCCTGTGAGTTACAGTTTAAAGACTTTGTTTACCCATTTCCTTTGATATGGACGTACAGTGAGGAAGGAGAAGAGTCTTAGCTTGAAAAGATAAGAATACGTAGTGTGAAAAGCCTGCTGGCAGTTCCCAGGCTTTAATCCATAGGTCCCCATGGTTTTAGCCATAGGGAATGAACGATTTTATTTTGTGCAGGGCACCACTTAAAAACTCTGTTTTTCCTCTTTGCCCTTCACAGGTGTGGGGAAGGGGCAATCCCCCTTTGTTCTGCAGATGTTTTCGTGGTCTGGCTGCAGGGCTGATCAGCATGTTGCAGTCTCTGAATGTAGCTTGATTTAACATTTTAGTTTTCTTGCTTTCTCCCTAAATTAGTATTACCTCCTGGAGGAGCATCCTAAGAGGTCTCTCCCTTCCTGTAAATGCCCACAGGGCTTTGTTTGCCTTCATCACAGGCTGCATTCTATTAAAATTATTGATATGCATATGCATAATTCGTTAACTTCGTGACTCTAAGGATTGTCTTATCTTTGGGTCCTGCTCCCTTCCCTTTTACAAAGGTTACCCCAGTGCCTTATATAGTCAAAAAACACTAGAATATCTTGTGTGCATGAGTTTGCTTTCAAAACAAAGAAATTATAGGCATTAGAAGAAACAATGTTTTTATCAGAATGATGTCACAAGGAATGTAATCCTTTAAAGGACTAACTTGAAAAGGATAAGAAAAAACATCTCTACTTTTTAGGCTGGAAGAAGTTAGTGTAGCTTTCCAATTCTAAACAGTCAGTCTAAGGAGAAAAAAACTGCCACAGAAGCTGCCTTCCTTTGTATTCAAATGAATCGTTTCTCTTTTTTACAAAGCAACAGAGCCAGAGAAGTCAATAGAAAGGCATCTGACCTGTACTGTATCATAAGCTGTGTCTGGACGCAGGTCCTTAGCATTCAGAGCTGCTTCTCTTGAGGATTTCCAGGGTTTACAGGTGTGAGGGCCGTGATCAGTGATGGCTACAGCTACTCAAGTCCTCATTTTTTGGTCGAAGCCTCGCAGTTTATCTAAAAGATCTCTTAAGCTTTCGAGGCTTAGCTGTCTCCTGCTGCTGCAGTGTGAGCCCGCTGTTCCAGCTCTGAATACGTATTTTAGAATATCATTGAAGCATTTCTTCTATACCCCTTCCTGACAAGCAAGCCCACTACAGAGCGTTTTGTTATTCATTCTTCCTAAATTTGACCCATTACAATTCTCCGTTAAAAGGTATTTAAAAGGTGAAAGCATTCAAAACTTCAGAGTGATGAGACGTGTGCATTTTAGGACTTATTATTGATAACTGTATCCTGCCCCTGCTATTCAGGTCAAGTTAGTGGCCCCTGCTGATGAAAATTGTCTTTAAAGCAACTTGACCTTGACCCTGAGAGCTTGTGTCTCACAGCTGTGGATGTGAGATTCTGTCATGGCTTTACACAGTCGAAATACTCTTGATGCCAAATTGGCCCTAGAAGTGTTTCTGCCCTGCATCCTGGGCTCTTCCCACCTCACCACCCACTCTTCCCAGCTTCATGAGATGGAAACGGCCTCATATAGCGAGGAGACCGAGCCCAGGCGGGTTCACATTCAGCCAGGAGCCCAAGAAATCGTACTCTCTCTGGGTCTTGGTTTCTTCATCTTGGACGAAAACTCAGTCACTAAGTCTTTCATACTTCCTCACTCATAGATCTCTAGATTCGTTCTAAATCAAGTCTTTATAAAAGCAGAAATCAAATGTCACCTAGAAATTTTACCTTTCCCAAAGTAAGTAACCTAGACACATATAAACTATCAAATGTCTTATAATCTTGGGTCAGGGCTGAGGTGAAATCCGGCGTCGCCACGGCATCGTGGGGGACGAGGAGGACAGGGGACAGCGGCGATAGTAGAGGACAGTGGATGGTGGCCTTGTGAGTTGTCCCTCTGTGCTTCCCCACCGACTCAGCAAAGAATTACAGGTCGGCGAGATTTAGAAAAAGTAAGATTTATTGAAAGTACATTTTAGAAGGAGAGGGGCCACGCTAAGGCAGACTGTGGCCTTGTGGAATTTAGGAGGTGCAGAGAGAAGATAGTGCACCCCAAAAGGAGGGGCGGGTTTCCAGCCAGGAAGCTGTAACAATGCGGAAACGGGAAGGTCTGTTTATATTCCTGTGGGGATGGGAGGGCCTAGATGATCCGTTTGTGACGTCACCTTGACCGACACCTGGCTGCTATATAACTCTTTGCCTACTGTGCATGTGCTTACCTGGAATTCAGTCTGTTATAATTAGATTCATGAACTTCTAGGCATAGGCATGATATTGTAATGATGGTATAATGAGACCTAAGTTAGGGGCAGTACTTTCTGCACATGCATTTGTAGCTGGTTTAGCCAGCAGCTTTTATGGCCTTTGTGCTCTAGGATTTAGGGTAATTTATAACCCTAAAAGAGAGGTATTTCTGGGAGGTCCTTAAGAAAGGCCTTTAAGGGAAATTTCTGTGGTTACAGAGCTGGACCTTGGCTCCTGTCACTCATGCCTGCCTAATTACCTAACATAGATACCTTGGTTCAAATCAATACTTTTTATTTTATGTAAATATTAATGAAATAAACCAGATAAAGAATGTAATTACTATTAGCCTTTATTATTATTATTAATATTAAAGTAAACAAAACTCTATTCACTTCACTCTTGTTTTCTACTGAATTTTATTAAATATGAAAACTCCTCATTACCACCCTGACATTTAGCGCCTTCTTAAAACAGAGA